CCTAAAGAGAACAACACACAAAGCAGACACGACCGAGACAGCTGCGCGCGCTCTTGGTGTTTTTGGCCGGCGAGCAAAGCCCACCCCCAACGCCGCCTGCCGGGGTGTAATAATTTGCAACCCCCGGAGGCACGAGCGCCGCCCTCGCCATAGATCGACGCAGCTAGTACAAAAAGGCACACCTAGTCAACACAGCCACCACAACGAGGGGGCAGCGGTTAGCTTAAGTAGACGAAAAGCAACGGCGCCAAATGACACCACGCCGACACAAACAGCATAGACCGACAAGCAGACGAATCAAAAAGAAAAACGCCACGCATAAACATGACACGAAAGCACTCAAAAACCAAGCAGCACAGAAGAAAGACACCGAGCGCGCACGCTTATACCTAAAAGCCCGCCCACCCGCGCCGCGAGATGTCCTCGGCCCAGTGGGTGCCGCAGACGTTGGAGGAGCCCAGGCCTGCCTTCAATCTTAGCCCGCACAACCATAGCACCAGAGGCCCGAGCGCCTGCCTGGATCCCTTGCGCACTTTCATAACGAACCACGCCGAGCCCCGAAGGCGTCCACTGCCCCGAGTAGCTCTAGAGCATTGAGGTGGCGACCTGTTTGCCCGCACTTTCCTCGCCCTCGCTTTGGAGGTGTGCCAAGTTGCGCACTAGAATGCCACCAAGCTGCCCCATGCATGGCGCAGCCTATACCCATGCCGACGCTGACGCAATCCATAAGCCAGCGCGCTCTCAGAAAGCTACCGGCCCACTCAACCACGCAGCCGATCTGCCTTCTAATGTTGTCGCTTTTATTTGTTTATAGCGTTACCCAATTACTTTACGACGCTGGGAGCAGATCTGGCCACATTTGTCAGCCCATTGCACCACGCCGCTCCCTGCCAACGTTGTCAGCCTTTTTTATGACGCTGCTGGCGCATTGTCCACACTGTTGCCGACTTACTTGATAACGCTCCCGAGGTGTTTTATATTAATGCTAGCGACGTGGCTTATAATGTTGTCGCTGTGTTTTATAATGCTGTCGATTTATTTTATAATGTTGTCGATTTCTTTTATAATGTTGTCGATTTGTTTTATAATGTTGTCGAAGCGTTCGCCTTTATTTTATGACGTTGTCTATTTGTTTTATAATTCTGTCGATTTATTTTATAATTCTGTCGATTTATTTTATAATTCTGTCGATTTATTTTATAATGTTGTCGATTTATTTTATAATGTTGTCAGCGCTTTTATTTAATTTCGTCGATACATTTCCCGCACTTTTTGACAGTTTTGAGAAGTCCAAAAATTCGACAAAATTATAAAAAAACGGCGTCCCTTTTGCCTCCAAAAATAATTGGCGTCTGCTCCTGCGATGATTTTCGTCATGTTTTCAATTTTGTCTATCGAGAGCCCTCGCGGGTGCTGAGTTTTTCGCGTTTTAGTTGCAAAGATTTCGCACGTTTTTGCGACATATTTCACATCGATGCGAGAAGATACAAAAACCACCCAGAGTCTGCGAGCTCAGCGAGAGGCTGACACCAGAAGCAGCCGACACCCGTGCGGTCTGCTTCCTCTGCGATTGTTTGCGCAAGGCTGCCAGCTTTGCGCGACGCATCGACCCAGACCCGCCAAGTAAGTAAAGTGAGTGGCCAGCGCTCTCGCCAGAGCACTCAGAGTCGCAAAAAAAGCCAACAACCCAAGCCAAGCGCCTAGCACGCTGCCCGAAGCTCGTGGCCAAAAATGAGAGCCCTGCAGCATCTCACGCTACGCTTCGCGGCCGCTGCACTGCGTGCCCCGCTGCCTCCCAAGGAGGGCGCTCGCCTTTCTCCGTCGTCTACATCTAGCAAAACGCTCCACCTTGCGGTCTTCGAACGGGCCGCCGCCTGCTTCTTCCCAGCGCAGAGCAGCTACGCCCCCGCCTCATGTCGAACGGCAGCCAAGCTCTTCGCCCCCAGACATGTGGCCGCGATCTACCACACTACGCGACATCCATGCCGGAGATTATCGCGCACCTCGGTGAAGCTTGTCCTGCGACACGCTGACGCCCCCGCACCCTAGCCAAGTCGGGGCGAATTCTCTAACCGAAATGCTGAGCATCCTGCCGGGCGCTTGAAATTATTACACGCTAACAGTCGCCGACGGCCCGCCCTTGCGTTTGCATTTGGTGGCGCTACATACTGAACAGCGGGAGCGGTCTCGCTTGGCGTTTTGTCCTCTTCTACGACATGCGCAGCCCAAAGCATACAAACCCGGCGCGCGGTGTGTTCCGCGCCCGACTCCTGGCACGCGAATGAACACAAGCAAAGGCACGCGCGCAGACCTGACGCGGCAAACAGACGCCGCACGCACGAGGCCAAAGCACACTATGCCAAGCGCCCAAAACTACTACAGGGCGAAACTCATGAGCCTGCCACGTGGCTTAGCTAACGCCAGGCCCCAACTCGCTTCTACAAGCGAGAGCGCTGCACCCGCGATTTTCTTGACAAGCAGAGACCTCGGTAGCGCTAGGGCTACGGCGTTCAGCTTCAAGGAGCGCTCTTACTCTCAGTTCTCTCGGACGTGCATCGAACCACTCAAATGAACACAAGCATAACACTCGCGGCGCCCGTCATTTTTCTTTTTACCGCTCTACGGACACCGACTGAGTCTGCTTGAGGTTGGGCCTTAAACACGACGAATTATAATGATTACCTTGGGCGGGCTTCATCGTGTCTGACCGTAGAAAATGCATGAGGCAACTCTGAACGCGACTTGCTACAAAATCGAGGATCTCTGGCGCAATTTCCTCTAAAACGAGTGCAACGCTAATGACGAGCTCCGCAGGATGCTCCAGAAATTTGCGAACCAACTCCAAGAACGCCTTTGCTGACTCTACATCAGACTCATGCTCGCTGCTTGCTTGCGCGTGTTTGCGCCAATACTCACGCCACATCTCCGCAACGGTCTCCTCCGCTTCTTGTTCATCGTAGAACATCATGTTCTCGGGCGATCGACTTTAGACTGGAAGACTATACTAATAGCTCAAGCTTGCGCATCCTAAGAAGTTCTGATCTACTTGTTGAGTACCGAAGGTTTGCTGGATTTCACGATGCCACATCAATTTTTTATCATTCCTACTAGTTTACACTTGAACCAGGTGGTGCTGAGTCACAAGCGCGACTAGTGACTGGAGCCCGATTCTGTTACTTCTACTGCAAGATAACGGGTAGCCCATAACTGTTGAAAAGCAACTCTGCTGGAGCAAAGGAGAGGAGCCCCTTGACCCAGGGGAATATTGCATGGACCTTTTCTACTGCCTTTTGCTCGATTGGGATCAGCTTCCGTTGCCTCTGCGTCATTTTTGAGCATTAGAAAAATGAGAAGCCGGCGAATTCACGAACGCGAGCTGCACCCAGTATCAAGCTGATACTTTCAGGATCCCTGTAATCTACACCCAATAGCTCTATGCCGCTGTAGCTCTAGCGGTAGGGGCTATCCCCAGCTTCAAGATGTTTCAGCTGTACGGCCTAACGCCATTATTGCTATTGCCGCAATTTCAAAGACGAGGCAAGAGACAACAACTTTGCTCCTAGATAATCATATCAATCATTCTACATCTTGTCTTCTTCCTTAAGGTTCGCCGGGTTTGCCTCGTGAATACAATTGCGCAATTCGCATAGGCAAAAACTGCATCCAAAAGACCCGTATAGGCACAGCATCGTAATCATACCGGCAAGTGGAAGACCCAGTGCTCTTTGTATCCGACGTCTTACTTGCGGTATCCGTTGTCCCAAGAGAGTCTCCACTAAGGTCATCTGCCTCGCTACGATCGCCGCTGGCTGAACTCAACCTTTTCTTCTCCTCTGCATCTTGGATTTTTTGTAGCAGTGCACGCACTATTGCGCGACAGTTTGCCTTCACTTGCGAGCCACCGCCTTTGTTTTTCGTCGACGCTGCTGTAGCTGTCTTCGGTGCTTCCACGTCCTGCGCTCCATAGAATTCCATATGCGCTCTCCCAAATGCGCTGTTAGAAGTGTCACAAGGAAGCTACTCTAGATTTTGATTCTGTAGAGTTATTGATGCCGTAAATAAATGAGTGTCCTTTGAGGTAGCTTAGGCGAGATGTACAAAACTACAATTGGTTATCTCAGATGGCACGACTTGCATTTGCCAACATGCCGCACCTGAAATCGTTCCGATTCCGATACTAAATACTCCGACTTAAAAGATGTGGACCAATGGCTGTGCCACTCATAAAGTGCGGAACAAAGATCACCCACCTGTCACCCTGCAAAACGTATCGCAGCTCTCCACCGTCTGGGTACTCCCTTTGCATGTAGGGCAACCCCTTTGGAGGAGCTTCGTCGATGTAAGGACGTCTGCCCATATTTGTCCCTCTTCCTTTGTCACTTACATATTATTATAACTTGCCAATACAGTTACCTACATACTATAGAGTATCTCTTCGCACAACCTCGCGACACGTTCAATCTCATAAGTCTATCCTCGACTCAATTGTTGAGCATCTCTGTCAATGGAATAGTCTCAGCGACGTTTCTCCAAGCTAGCGCATCATCACGGATACAGCATATTCGCAGACAAGGTGGTTGCTGATGACATCTCTGTATGCTGGCATTTGAGCAAGACCCTTGCTGTGGCATTCGGTATTTTGAACTATTCAGCTTCTTGCAAACCAGAGCAGAAAACGACCCAGCTTGAGATTGAGTCTGTCAATGTTCATTTCAAGACTGTTATTGCTGTCGAGATCACCCCGATGGCTCAAATGAGACCGATCTAGAAATGGCCACACGTCGTGGTAGAAACTCAGACAATGTTTTCGTCTGCGCACAAGTGCAGGTGCGGGCAATGCATGAGAAGACTAAGACTATAGATATAGCCTGGATTTATAGCCCAACTTATGGCCCGCCCCGCACATCCAAACCATGGCCAGCTTTTTAGAACACCCTGCCTAATCTCCACATTGATTTTGAAATGACGTGAAGCCCTGCTGCTTCTCAAGGCTCTACTTTCTTTGGTTTTGGCTTCAGGAGGAAAAAGCACTTCGCACTACAGGTAGCCGTGTTTTTTTTTTGGTTGAATTCTTCATCTGAGAATCATCAAAAGAAGAAGTTTGTAGGTCACTTCTGCTGAGAGCAAGGCCATATCATACCTGCCTGAAGCGCAAGCTGCTTGTGAGGTATTCATCGAATAACTCACGATACATCTTGCGCATCACGAACAGCAAGACGTGGAAGGAAGATTATACTTATAGTTGACGCTGGTCACGCATTATTTGCAGATTTTCTATGATTTAGATTCACTTCAATATTAAGAACCGGGCGCATGAGATGATTAAATACTCGTACTTTTTATTCAACGATCACCGGCAAAGACGAAAATACTCAGATATATCTCCTTTCAGAACATCTTTTAGAAGTAGCTGCGTTGTACGATCATCGCCTTCACTTACCTGATTATTGGAAAATAGCAGCTGTTTTTTCTTACTAGAAAATATTTTATTTCCATATATTTGCTTATTCGCCTTATGTTCTCTATTAAGTCAGCAATAACTCTACGTAGAAATGCATAAGAAATTTTGTGCTTGCAGATCATTCATGTACGCAATTCGATATGGACGACCTTCGTAAGACAAGAAAATACTTCACAGCCAACATTATAACTCTATCATATAACGAGCAAATAGATCTTTACAAAAACAAGAAATGACTCCATTAGCATTACTGATAAAACATAACTGATCATATATTTCTCGACAAACCTTGTGCTCAAATAACAAGAGGACAACGCCATCTATTTTTCTGTAGAAGTTGTACTCCGATGCTTCAACCTGAATACGATATAGATTCTGCCTTTTATCTTCTTCCCACACTTCGTCGATCATAATGGCAAGGCTACCAGAATGCTACTCGATCTGTAGAAGTGAGTCCCCATCTATAACGGTAGGTCACTGATTTATCATAGCATCAACATTACATCTCTCGCAGGTGAAGCCATTCTTTACGTAGCCAGATAATCAGTGGCACAAAGAACAAGAAGTTTGTGGTGCTATAACAAATAATAAGCGATTGCATTATTATCATATACTTAGTGAAGATAAAATGCTCACTGACCTACATCAAGCAGTCTTTTCTTCATTTCATTATACACTAAAGAATAATAAAATCTGTGATTTCTAATACTTAATCGAAAACATCTTCCTCATCAAGAATCATCACCAGAAAGTGTCACCCATTCGTCAGCTGCCGCTTAGTGCTTCAAACCTGTGTGTCGTATGGGAGAAGCAATGCGTTAGTGTCAGTCGTGCTTCGAAGAAAGAAAATTCCACTGAAAGACGTAATGAAGTCTACACAGGAGTGATACAAGCTCAAACTACTTGTCTGACACCGATATCTCAGTATCCATATTACCTGACTCTCCCTTCTTAGCAGTTGTAGAGCAGTTCTTCTTGCGACGGCGTCGGCGACGAAGAGCTAGCCTCCGGCATTACCAACGACACTACATTGTCATCTGCATTGCCATCCACGTCATTCATACTTACATCAACCTGCGCAGGTTGATCATCAGCATCGGCCTCCGCAGGTTCATCATCAGCATCGGCCTCCGCAGGTTCATCATCAGCATCGGCCTCCGCAGGTTCATCATCAGCATCGGCCTCCGCAGATTCACCATCAGCATCGGCCTCCGCAGATTCACCATCAGCATCGGCCTCCACAGGTTCACCATCAGCCGTCACAGCTTCCTCCTCGTTAGCCTCACCAGCATCTCCATCAAGATCAACCTGTTCGAAAGACATTTTTTGTTTTTGATTGCTGCTGATGAAAAGTCAAGCAATGCTATAGTTTTGGAAGAATAGAAAGTCGAATTGTAGAGATGTAGAAGCCGCTTACTGACATTAACATCGTCAAACAAGTATCTAAGACAACACCTCCATTGCCACGTCCTCGTCATCTTCGGGCACTTGCTCTTCAGGCAGCTCTTCCGCGACCTCATCCTGAGAAGTGGATGTCTCTTTCTGCTGATTCTTTTTCTCACCCACCGAATTCATCGATTCGTTCTTGGAGTCGATGCTGAAAGTGAAAGGTACAGTTAAGATTACTACGGAAAAAAGCCCACAACTACTGTAAAATCAAAGCTGTACGATTGATTATTTTTGTAATCTTCATCGTCTTAGAAATACGCTACAGATGTAGTTCTTGATCTTGATCCCTAATCCTAAGCATCTAGTCCTAGGTCCAAATTACGAAGTTTTCGCAGTGCCGCTCTCGCGTTTCAGCTTGTTTAGCTTCTCCTTTAGAGGCGGATTCTGGCGGGCGGTCGGCTCAAACCTTAAGTAGATTGAGGTCAATCTTATAAATATCGTGTCTGTGAGTTCTCCTCAATCAACACCAAGTATGATAGAAGAACAGCATCTTTCTCAACCAAAAGAGTGCTATAAACTAAAGCAAAAAAAAGGATAGCTAGTCCTAGTACTTTGCAAACGGATCTTCTTTCTGTTTCGGAGGTGCCTTTTGTTCTTTTTTCGGCGCACGCTTCTTTTCCGGACTGCTCGTTCCCATCTCGGCATCCTCATCTGGTTCCTTGTCCGTTTTCTTGTTTACCTTCTCTTTCTTTGCAGGTGGCGTCTTCGCCTTCTTGCGCTTCTTAGCGGCTGGAGAGGCCACAATTGAAGCAACGGACGGAGACAGGTTGAAGTCGTGCTCACTGGACACAGAGGACACAGCGATCGAGGACTCCTCGGAAGAGGCAGACTCGGACTCGGACTCTTCGACCTCGTCCTCGTCTTCGTCCTCATCCTCGTCGTCGTCTTTCATGGTGGACGGGGGAGAAGCCGCAATCGCACTCCCAGCATTCTCAGCCTCAGCGCGCGCTTTCGCAATTTTTTGACGTATTAGAGGCTGATAGTATGTTCTTGCCATGCAGATAAAAAACGCATCTGATATGGCATCGTCGTGACAAGAAGATACGCCCCTCTTATAATATGCTGAAGAAAGGAGAAGAGTAGCGATCAGTTTCGGTGATAAACACACGCCATCAGCGTCAAGCATAATACTACAGGACGGCCATGCCATCTAGTATTCATAAATTACTAATCTGATATATCAAGGCTAATAAATAGGACTACTCTCAGCCATAATTTCAGCTGCTTGATTTTGTTCTTAGAACTAGTTTATCACTCTGCAAAGCTCACAGCGGTGCCTCCTTTTTCTTCTGAAGCCTCCCTCGTCCAGATCCCAGCAAACTCTAACCAGGGCACCGTGTTCCACTTAGTGATGAACTAGCCTTAATATTCTGCTGCTTCTCCTTCTTCTGCTGCTTCTTCAGATCCTTCTTTGCTTTCTTCGCGTATTTCTTTGCTAGTTTTGCCGCCTCTTCCATTTCTTTCTGCACGCGCTGTTTGCGGCGCAGCTCTTCTGCCTCTGTAGCGGGGTTCAGAAAGGATAATGATAATACTACTGGATACTCCCCTTGAATTTCATGTTTCCAGCGTGTTTCTTAACCTGTTTACTAAGCACTTCAGCTTAACTCCTTAAAGAGGTCCCAGAGACTTGTTCTAAAAAATCACACTACTTTCTTCCAGCTCCCAAGCCCAGTCGATGGCCTCCGGGTCATATTAGAACTGATCAGGTTAACAACCGTCGCAAGATTTGGTTGAAGTTGAAGCTAATGCTTACACGCTCGAAGTAGTTCAAGTAAATAGATACACAATTGATAACGAGGATCTCTTCCTTCTCAGACTATGGCGGAACTTCGCTTCTCTTACTAGATACATGCTGACAGGTCGTAAGGCAGGTCGCGGAAACATTAGAGGCTTGCGATTTCATTCATTGCTATTGTATTCTGTTCGGCCGTTTGCTAATTTCCCGCACTAGCGAAGAATACCACAAGCAAACGAATGAAATGCTTTCCAGCATAAAAAATCCGCTTGTGGAACTGCTTGCTGATCACGTGATCGCGACACTTTTCCTGTTGCTTTTTCACCTGTAAGTTTGAAGCTAAATTAAAAAACCTTCAAAATAAGGCTCTAAACTTTGATGAAAAGCACCCTTCTTTTTTGCATAGAAGATATGTTGAAAACATGTCCTCCAAGAGAATAGGGCTCTTTCGCCCTTGACGAACGAAGCTGCACTGTCCAATAAAAAATACTTGACTACTTCACCTCACTTTTATATATGGATGACGTTTCTAATCCAAAAAACTAGCATCGTAGATACCTGCTGACCTAGATGATCGTCTTCAAAAAATGATGAGAATGGTTCTTAATCCGGATGGTACCGATTCAACGCGCATTCTCATTAGAGAAAAAACAGACAAGCCCAAGTCAAACCGTAGTGCTTCTAGTAATTGCCTGATATCGTTTAAGCCTGAAGACTAGAAGCAGCACGCGTGAACCATTTCTACCTAAGCAGTGCGGTATTGTCTTGAGTCTGTTGCGTCTCATAAGTTTAATTCGTGCTCGGGCAGCACAGACTTCACCAGATTAGAAGATCAACGACGGAGAAGAAATGCTTCATGCATAGGGTTTCTGAGTTTGGGACGAGTCGTAGGTCTGCGAATTATAAGAACTTATCTTCTAACGCGGAAGATCGATGGGATTCAGTGGAATTCCGAAACTATCTACAACGATGAATATACTAACTGCTCCATAACGAGGCCGTCCTTGATGTCCTTCGGTTAATACTTAGAGGCCAACGAAGTTTTAGATTCTTCGGTAGCATTACCTGGGTCGCCTGTCTAGTATATTTTCTTGCTACTTACTGCTTTCCCCAGATAATGTTACTTAAGAAGCATTTTCCACTTCCTTAAGCTTCGCCTTGATATTCTCGATCTGATGCGGAAGAAAAAGCAAGGGTTACGTCAGGAAAAAACCACGCGAATCGGAGTGAGCGTCTCCCATTCAAAGTGGTGCAAAGTTTTCATATTAATCTCGCCGACTTATTACAAAATACTTTGCTTGTTCTAATCACTTTGGTCAAGCCAAGTAGACTACATTAGAAGGAGTTTCACAGCAACACTGAACATGAAGAAAAGTCTACACTAAACCGGGGTGCATGAGCTTTAATGCATATGTGTACCGCTTTGGCTGCTTTCCAATTGTCTCCCAGCATATTAAGCAGCGACAGGCATTGGTACTTGTTGTCATCCTCAGGTGCCGCCAGCAGCAATTGCGATACCTGGGTAAAAAATCAGAAAGCATCAATCTCGAGATTTTGTCGACAATAAAGCTACTAAGGGAATGCAAGTGACAAAGATAGGGAGCTGAAGCAAAAAATAAGTGCACAGATGGTTGCTCTACTACTAGTACTACATGCATGGTGAGTCATGAACTGAAAAAAATAGAACATTATACAAACGAGAGAAGCAATCCATTACGTAGGCACCCAAGATCTTTGCAAGCCCTCGACGCACGCTCAGCCGCAGATATGGCGCACGCAAAAAAACCGTCGCGCCAGGTAAGGCGACTCGGCGCGGTCGACCCCCTTCCAACTCCAAGCCACTGAGCGGCTGCGGGTATGTAACCTCCGCCAACTCCCTCAAGCCCCACCGCGAACCCCACAAGCAAACGCAGAAAGCTTGACCCCAAGCAACGAGAACGCACGCAGATGCAAAGCGTTCAGCACCCCCGACCAAAAGCCGCCAACAAAGGCCACCCGTTTGCCCAAGGCGGCACCCCTTTTCCCCGCCCCAAACAAGCACGCTCAGGCGGCTGGCTTAGCCACGCACGCCACAAAGCCAGCAACGAAAGCGGCGCGCGCTTGCTCCCACCAAAAAATCCGAGCAAGCCGCAAGCCCGCGCGCGCAATGGCACTCCAAGGCCCCCCACCTCCTCCACCAGAAAACTACGCACGGCCAGAAAACTACGCACGGCAATACTCTGCCAGCCAATCGGTCAAGCGCAGCACCAGGCGCAGACCTCTCCAGGTTCATGATCGCGGGAATGCCTGGCGCCCTCCTTCATCCGCGCAGCCTTCCGAAGCTTCCGACACTTGCCCCGGATGAAACGCCTCGAGCGCGGCGCGACTGCGTAGTCTCCGTAAATTTTTGCGGCTGCCGCGAGTTTTTTACCGCCTCCCGGCTTCATCGTCCTCAAAATCTAAAGGCGCATCTCCCCGCGTCCACACTTGTTCGCCCGCCAACACTTTCCAAGCTTAACGCAGATGAACGCCAGCCGCGCACCGTTTCCACTGCCCTGCCCGCGTTGTCTCCTCTCCCATCGTTCGGCCCGCCAATAAACAAGACAAGCCGGCCGCGCTGGCATTCTTCTCGAGATGGGCAGCGGCCTCCCCGCCGAGGACAGTAGCAGCCTCAGCGGATCCACCCAGATAGAAGCTGCGCGCGGCACCAGTTCGGTAGCGACGACGCCGCACCGCTTCCGCCCGGACCTACCACCGCCACCGCGTTGGTGCTTGCCGTCCAAAGTGCTTCCAGATCCAGCCCGAGCCTGACGCAGCAGCGGCGACCAGGCTGCCCGCTCTCACGGCTTCCCCGACGCAGATCAGGCGCGACGCCCCCCCCTGCTGGCCGCCGCCACGCCGTTCCCTTATACTTTCCCGCCGCTGTTGCGCCTGCAGCTGCCAGGGAAGTGACCTGCGAGGCGACACAGATGGCCCACAGCACCCCCCCACTCCTCAGCGTCGCAGTCGAGCGCGCTCGCCAAGTAGAACCGCCTGGCCCTAGGCCTAGCGTGGCGCCCTAAGAGTAAGGCTAGCGGTGACTGCCCCCCCCCTACTGAAGATCATAAGCAATAAAAAACTAAAAAAATACCGTCCATTTTTTCGCCAGTAGAGCGGTCTGCAGCTCGCACAAGCTTGTATCGTCCCATTCGCGAATGTTCCGAACTTAGAGGCAGAAGAAGATGCTACCTAGCTCTTGCATCAAAATAGACGAGCTTCATATTGAAAAAAATGTCACTGAAGACCGAACGCTATATAGTTATGGTCTTCTCCTCTTCTCGAGTACTGGCAATTTGCAGCTAGTGCGTAAGCGTGTGTAGACGTAGAACTCAAAGAAGGGACCCATCAGCATAATCAATATGCGGAAGCATTACAAACTTACATACTTTGAGACAGAAAACTGCAGAGACTCCCCATAAAATTTCAGCACCGACTTGTCGCCGGATAGTGCGAATTTGGTTTGAATTTGGGCGTCAGTCATTTTCTTCTTCTTGGTGTTGTGCTGGTGTAGCTTCGCGCTGTTGCTAGTTGTAGTTTGTTTTTGGAGAAGCACTGCTGTAGCGTCTCGTTACTGACCTGAATGCTCTTGATGATGCTAATCTACTTGGCGATCTGACTTCAATATTCTTACTCCTAATTTTTTTCAAAGGAAGAGTGGTAGTGTGTCTAGTGTATTTCTTGAAATGTAAGATCCACCTCTTTCGAAAGTCTGATATTCAATAATAGACATCAACGCAGAACTCAAGCCTCTTGAACTTACTACACGGTGGTAATCAGATGAATATAACTGTTTAGGCTGCATAATTACACGGCGGCGTTCGGATGATAATTCCTGCGGCCTTATAGAAGCACCGTCCTCAGCAGAAATGATTTAGAGAGGTCCACACTGCAATCAAGTCACATTGGCATTAGTTCACATTGGTATGAATTACCAAACACATGGGATGCGACGAGCACAGTAATACTTAATCGGATTGAGTCACTTTTGAACGCAAAGAAAGACGATGGACGTACTTGATCGACACATTCATCGATTTGGTGTGAAGGTAGCATTTGCAAAGCCTTCAGTTCATGTTGAGCATGGTCAAGAAAAGAATGGATGTGGTGTCGTCCTATCAAAATTATTACACGGTGGCAATCACATTATTTTTTCTGATTGCTCGAAAAAAAGACCCTGCTGCGCACCGGATCATCAGCCACCGATTTGAGACAATGCTTATTCCATTGTTGGCAGAGTTATGGATATTCACTAGAGGCTCAAAGTACATGAGCGGCTTGCATTTCTTGCAGTTAAGAAAAAGTCTGCTGCTGGACGAAGAACACACCTTACTCTTATTATAATTGCATAACTTCAGTTTCATCATTTGGTCCTATGCAGACGTGATGAATCCGATCTCGTAGCTGGTTCGTTTATTCATTAAGAGGATTTTTTTTGAGATTGATCGCGCGGCGTCTCAGGTCTCCTTCTATCTTGTCCAACCAACGATCGTAGGGGAAGAGCTCGGTCTTTAACGGGGTACATAGTCACAGATTCTATTTTATAATAGTTCAAGAAAACTCCTGGTGCTGTAACAAACGAACAAGATAAGATTATCAGATCAAGAATTTTTGAGGCACAGCAGAAAATCTCTCAAAAGCCATTAGTCAGTATCCTTTATGGAAAATCAGCCAATCATTCAATAATGGCGAATGAATCACTTATTTAGAACAACTGCTAACGCTGAGAATGAGTCACAGCTTCTACCAGGTTGTACAAAAATCATGAATTGAAAGAAATTCTAATTCTAAAGAACAAATAATAAGAACTAAGAATCTACAACTTGTCAGCACTCTGGGGTAGTCATCATGTGAGGGCACACCAAGAAAGCACATTTCATATTCTAGCAATCAAAAAGTGTTGAATGTAAAACAACAAGTCACTCTTGAACAGCAAAGAAATGAAATGGCTAAACTTCCTTCGTCTGTCATAAGAAAATGAAAAACAACAATGAAGAAAAAACAACATCAGATGTCTCTCAAACCTCTTCCCTGACGACCTGCAGACATCAATTGTCCGACAAACATCAATTCTCCGACAAACGTCGACTCTCTTCCCGAATCCAAGCCCAAAACCCTCTAAGCCTTGCCAAAAGCCGGCGCCGCATTGATGGAGTTGGTGCTGGTGCTGGAGCTGGATGAGGATGTTGAAAGTGGAGAGGATGCCGGCGCAGCGGATGTTTCGATGGAATCGGATGCCAAGGCCGAACGGACTTGAAAACGACCCATGAAGCGATCAATTACTTCGCCAGCGCCAGCGCTCGCAGCCGTCGTGGAAGCAGAAGTGGAGACACTGTTTTCCGGAGTGCGTGCCACTTTCGTTCCCTCCTGTAATGGGATTGAGTTGAGTAATCAGCTTCATGACAAGTCGGAGTGTAGATTGGTATTTTCTGGGAGAAGCGCAAGTACTGAGACAAGACATTATGGACTCAAGCGGATGCACCAATTACCTAGTTGAGCTTGGTTCCTTTTTCCTAGAATCGACCGATTTCTTTCCTAGATCCGGCGGATTCCTT